AGGGGTGGGGGTGGGGGGATGGAGTTGGGGGCAGGAAGTGTAGGGAAGCCAGGGAGGCCAGTGCAGTAGCCAGGGGAGAGAAGATGCTAGCTGAGACTAAGGCAGTAGTTAGGCGAAAAATGTGGATAAAGGGTCACTTAGGAGGCGAAATAAGACTTGGCCATGGGTAGAGCCTAGCACGCCTCCAGGCCATTAGATGGACAGCCACGGGGCCCCTCTTGAGAGAGGGAAGACAGCACCTGAGATAGGGACTATGAAAGGACCAACATCAACATGGCTGAGGATTGAGCATCTGTGTTTGTGGTTTCTGGCAGAAGGCAAAGGCAACAGAAGACAGGCAGGAATTGGGTACAGGAGGGTGACAAAGGACAAAAGGCCAGGCCTAATGCTGTTGGGAAACCTGTAATAATGCAGACAGAGACCTGGGAAATGGTCTGACAGTTTTAGAATGTTGAGACTTAGGTTAGAGTTGGGGTCAGAGGCCCCGCTAGGGGCTCAGACTGGGTAGGGGAGGAGGAGCTGAACAATGGCCAGAAGAGAGGGATTTGTCTCTTGGTTCAGAGGACCTGGGAGCAGCATGGAGAGCCAGGCAAGGGACATCACCGCCTTCCCAACCTGCTTAACATCAGAGGTGATGGTGAAAGTGAAAGAGAAGCAAAACAGGCCAGCGTTCCCTGAGTTAAGGTGAAAGCGAAAGCAGGAAGCGTCAGGCGTGGAGCCCCACAGAGAACAAGGCTTTGGCCATTCTGGTTCTCCGCTGGTCCCACTCCTCTAACCATCGACCCCCAATCCCTGGACTGCTCTACTCACCCTAAGATGCTGAAGATAGCTCTAGAGCCCCAAGGGGGCTTCTCCTTCGAGAACTGCCAGAGGTGAGGTGGGGGATGGTTGGTCCCGAGCTGCCTATGCTCTTCGTTAAGGTCTTTCGGGAGCCCCAGGGCCTTTATTCCTGATGGCGAAGGGCTGCGGGGTAGCATGTGTTGGGCCACTTGGGTTCCCAGGCTTACTCTTGGAGATGAAGGGGAAGGAGTTGGGCAATGTGATGGGGGGGGGGTCCCCAGAAGAACCAAAACATAGGCCACTCCTCTTCGTCTCCAGAAACGCATCCTTGAAACGGGCGCTCCCGGGGCTCCAGGTCCCTCATGCGCGCAAGACCGGAACCACCATCGCCGGTCTTGTGTTCCGAGTGAGTAGGGGGTTCGGACTGGGAGGCTTAAAGGAGCGGCCGGGGATCTGGCGGGCACTGAGCCAACGGCCTCTTTCCCCCGCTCCTCAGGACGGGGTCATCCTGGGAGCGGATACGCGGGCTACTAACGATTCGGTCGTTGCGGACAAGAACTGCGAGAAGATCCACTTCATCGCGTCCAAAATCTAGTGAGTATTCCCCAGCCCCGTTCCCCCACGCAAGAGCCGCTCCCTCGTTCACATCCCCTGTCTCCGCCCACACCAACCCTCCCTTCGCCCTCAGCTGCTGTGGGGCTGGAGTAGCCGCGGACGCCGAGATGACCACACGGATGGTGGCGTCCAACATGGAGCTACACGAACTGTCTACAGGCCGCGAACCTCGCGTAGCCACCGTCACCCGCATGCTGCGCCAGACGCTCTTCCGGTGCTGGAGCGGGGCTAAACCACCCTGCGGAGGGGTCGTTGCGGGGAGGGCGGAGCTGAGGAGGTGGGACTGGGGAGGGCGGGGCTGCGAGGTTCCGGTAGACCGGAAGAGGCCGGCCTGAGAGGAGCCGGGCTACAGAAAGGAGCGATGTCAGTCCTGGAGCGCCAGACCACAGGAAGGGGCGGGGCCCGGATCCAGGGGGCGGTGTGGGGGTGGGGTCTTGGCTCCGGAGCTTGCAGCTGACCACGGTCACTCCACGCAAAGGTACCAGGGTCACGTGGGTGCGTCTCTGGTCGTGGGCGGCGTAGACGTGACAGGACCGCAGCTCTACAGCGTGCATCCCCACGGCTCCTACAGCCGTCTGCCTTTCACGGCCCTAGGTGAGCACTTCTGCCCTGTCTCCACGAACCCCGTCCCTGCGACCCTGGCCTCACGTTTGTCTTGTGTTGGGACGGCCTCGGCTGACCTCCGATGTCCCTCTTGCCTGCAGGCTCCGGCCAGGATGCAGCCCTGGCGGTGCTGGAGGACCGGTTCCAGCCGAACATGACGGTGAGCGACACCTGCCCCACACTACGTTGTCTTTGGTGGGAAGCGCACTCGGGGCTAGGGGAGCCCAGAGGGATACTGGCCTAGTCTGGAGGTCGGGGAAGGCTTCTCAGAGGAGATTACAACTGGGTGGAGACTGAGGGGCCAATGGAGTGAGGGTAGGGAAGTGCTGTTCCAACAGATCACTAACGGTGCCAAAGCTTTGGACTGCTGGCAGAAGTCAAAGCTCAGAGAGGACCGTTTGGAGTTGAGGGAGGAGGAAACAGCAGGTGGGATTTGGAGTTTGGATTTTGTTTGGGGTGGGATAGAATTGTTGCTTCCAAGGTGCCTAAGGCCCAGAAAGAGAAAGACAATGAGCCGGTGAACTGGGGGCCAAAGCCATATTGGTTGGGTGGATAGGCCACTGAAAGCAGAGGCTCAAATGAAAGTGACTCAGAAATTTGTGAAGATGGGGGCAGTGGAACAAGGGGTCTCTGGAGAGAGGGAGGCAGAGACCTGGGGAGGGGAGTTTGCGGTGGCAATGGAGGTGTAGGGGGAGAGAGGAGTTAAGGTGTGAGCATATGGTAAGTCTGGGCTTCAAGATTAACAAAGTCTCCAGACTGTAGCCTAAGGGTCCATCGGGCCTCACACACACATCTCCACAGCTGGAGGCTGCACAAGGGCTGCTGGTGGAAGCCATCACTGCAGGAATCCTGGGTGACCTGGGCTCCGGGGGCAGTGTGGATGCATGTGTGATCACAGAGACCGGTGCCAAGATGCTGCGAACACTGAGCTCACCCACAAAGCCCATAGAGAGGTGGGAGCAAGGGAGATGGGGGACAACATGGAAAGATGGGTAGTAGCAGGGGACCTAGGGGGCTGCTAAAGGATGGGCCACATGATGAGCCCATGCTGAGATACCATTCGTCCTCCCTCCTAGGCCCGGCCAGTACCGTTTTGCCCCTGGGACCACAGCTGTCCTGTCCAAGACAGTGGTGCCACTGCCCTTGGAGCTGGTGGAGGAAAACGTGCAGACCATGGAGGTGGAGTGAAATAGGCTGAGCCTTAGAACTCGGAAACAAGGGGGAATAAACGCAGAAAATAAAAACACCTGAACAGATGGCTGTGTTGTTTTTGGGTGGAGGGGGTGAGCAGCCAGCAGGACTCTATGGCTAAGGTAATCCTGCAGAGGCCACTCTCTCCCACAGCTCCAGTATCTGGCCTAAGAGGTGCCCTTCACCCATCACTTTAGGCATCTACCCCCCTCCTGAACCTCAGCCCTGGCAAGCATTGCAGGCTCAAGAAAGCCACCTCCTGACTCCACACCATAGAGGTTCCCCTTACCGCTCCCACGCCTTGATCTTGCCCTGTAGTTTACTGGGGACTGTTGCAAAATCCAAAAGGCCCCACTTAGAGCCTTTGCCTGGCTCATCAGTGACCCAGGACAAACCCCACGCCTCTCAGTCAAGCGCCCCCCCCACCTCTAACCCATGGACCCCATTGAGAGCTCAAGTGCTGGTAGAGGAGCTGCCCGTTTCCAAGGGCAAGTTCTTACAGAGCACTACTCACCTGCTACACCTTTATCTGTGAAACCCTCTTGACAACCAAGCACACCTGAGGTGCTAACACAAAGCTGGGTTGTGCGTAGGGGGATTGACCCCAAGTTTTCTGGGATAATGGGGTCACAGTGCTCATGTGGGGACAGATGACATGACACATCCAATAAACCTTTGCTGAGCACCCACTGAATGCGAGGCCAAGGTCCTGGGTGCTGGCAGGTGCATCCAGCCCTCAGAATGTCTGAGCTCCACTAGAGCCTTGGAACTGCTCGAGAGTCCTCCCAACCTCTGGGGAGGGTCTACACTAGGCTGGACATCCCCTGGGCTCCTGATTGTGCTTCTCCCCCAACATTTAATTATAAATATTTTTAAACATAAAACTGGAAAGAATTATACACTGAACACCTACATACCCACCACAGACTTTACAATTAGTATTTTGTTATATTTGCTTTACAACATATCTATCCATTTGTCTATTCAACCATTAACTCATCTTACTTGTTTGACTGATAGGTTCTTGAAATAAGTGGAAACCCTCACACCCCTAGAAGGCCAGTCAACTTACCCATTGCAACTTTGTATGCAGGGGCCTCTTCTTTCCCTCTGTCCAATTCAGCCTGGAGCTCAACAACAAATAGGCTGCAGACACCAGAAGCTTGCCCACAGGAGCCCCAAGGCCTGGAGGTTGTCAGAGATTTGATGGCTGTCATCTTTCTACCCGCAACCTCTGTCAAGGGTTGGCCAGTCACCAAGGGCTCATACCTTGCCCTCCCTATGTGCCAGTCCCTTCCCAAGCATCATCTCATCATTAAGAGTGTGGGCTTTGGAGCCAGACAAATGAAGGTTTGGGTCCAACCACACCATGTGCTGGTGGAAGAGTCACCATCTCTGAGCAAACTGACTCTTGTTCCAAGTTGAGGAATTACTGAGATGGTATCTATTAGGATTCACAACCTGCTAGAACCTGTCCTGTCACACGGCCCCGGCCCTCCACAACAGAGCTGGTACAGCTGGACATTCCCTCCACCAGTAGGAAGACCCCTGGGTGCTGAGCTTGCTTCTCGGAGAGTCTGGTGCCCCTAATATTCCTAGGAGACTTCCATGATCCCAACTACCAGGTGGTCATCATAGGCCTCATTTAACTGTAATTCCATGGGACCCAGTGCACAGCACTTGGGATGTGAAGTGGTTCAAATAGTCAATCAGAAGCCAGGCTTTGGGGGGTGGAGGTGAGAAACTCACACCTGGGCTCTGATAAGTTCAGGCCTGGATTGAGGACCTTGGGATAATGAGACCCTTATGACTAGAGCGTGGGAGGGTAGCTGTGCCCATACAGCTGGCCTGGCTTCATGCCTGGGACTTTAGCCCAAGGACAAGGAGACCTATAAAGCCAGGCCCAGTTCTCGCCCTCACTCCTGCCACAATGCTGCTGCTCAGCCTGACCCTTAGCCTGGTCCTACTCGGCTCCTCCTGGGGTGAGTGGGCCTGGACCAACCCTGGCTCCCAGCACAGCCCAGGCTTCCCTCCTAGGGGCTCAGGAGGGAACCAGGCTGGCTGGAAGGGAAGCAGTTGGACAGAATAGGCAAAGGAAAAAGTATGTGCCAAAGCTGGAAGGAGGCAAGAGGTGGACAGGAGCTTGGGCCAGGCCCAGGAGCCAGGGAGGGTTTAGGAAGCTGAGAAGTGAAGGTTGGACATGTAGTTTAGGAAGAGCCATATGGCTGCACATAGGGGCATGGAGCGGGTAGAGAGGCCAGGAGGAGGCTATCTCAGGGGTCAGGGAAACAAGCAGCCTGGGCTGGAGGATGGGACGGAGTTGGGGAACGGTGGGGAGTAGGCTGAAGAGAGATGTGGAGAGTGGACAACGCTTGGGGGCTGGCTGTGTGGGAATGACCAAGAATGTGCAGGGGGCTACAGACGCTCAGAGTGAGACGTAGTAGTGATGAGCCCTCTCAATTTGGACCCCTCTTGGGGGCACCTGGGAAGAGGTGGGGAGAGGTGGGCTGGGATGCCAGAAGCAGGTGCTCACTAGCCCAATGGCCAGGCTGCGGTATTCCTGCCATCAAACCGGCATTGAACTTCAACCAGAGAATTGTCAACGGAGAGAACGCAGTGCCAGGCTCCTGGCCCTGGCAGGTGTCCCTGCAGGTACATGCACCCTGGGGGTGTAGGGCAGGGACCCAAGTGCTTCATGCCTAGGTATAGCCTGAGTCCCCCTCCCATTTCTGACCCCTGACCCTAGGACAGCAGCGGCTTCCACTTCTGTGGTGGTTCCCTCATCAGCGAGTCCTGGGTGGTCACTGCTGCCCATTGCAATGTCATGTGAGTGCTTCCACTCCACCTGCCCCATCCCAGCCCACCTCTCCCCACCTCCTTCCCTCGGATGCCCCTCTCTTGTTGCAATGTCCTCCCTGTGGCTACTCAACCCCACTCTCACTGCAGCCCTGGCCGTCACTTTGTCATCCTGGGCGAGTATGATCGATCATCCAGTACTGAGCCTTTGCAGGTTCTGTCCATCTCGCGGGTGAGTACCTGGGCTGCAGACATGGGAAGGAAGAGTGGGCCGTGCAGAGTGGGCTCTGGGGATGAGGAATTCAGGGCAAACCCTGGCCTGGCCCCCTCAGCACCCATCAACCCTGGAGGCCTGTGCTCGCCCCATTTTACATGGCCCCTTCCTGGCTCCACAGGCCATCACACACCCGTCCTGGAACCCCACCACTTTCAACAATGACGTGACACTACTGAAGCTCGCCTCCCCAGCCCGGTTCACAACACGCATCTCACCAGTTTGCCTGGCTTCCCCAAATGAGGTGCTGCCTACCGGTCTCACGTGTGTCACCACTGGCTGGGGCCGCCTCAGTGGCTCAAGTAGGAACTTGGGCCAAAGATCCAGATGGGAGGGTTAGGGTGGGGTCAAGTCATCTGAGGCCTAAACTCCCCTTCTCGGCCCACAGGCAATATGACCCCAGCACGCCTTCAGCAGGTGGCCTTGCCCCTGGTCACTGTGAGTCAGTGCCAGCAGTACTGGGGCTCACGTATCACCGACTCCATGATCTGTGCAGGTGGCTCAGGGGCCTCCTCATGTCAGGTGAGCACTGACACCCTGTCCTGTTCTCTGCACTGTCCTCTGCCACTCCCACACTGACTTCTCCCCTCTCCTTCCCTCAGGGTGACTCCGGAGGCCCTCTTGTCTGCCAGAAGGGGAACGTGTGGGTCCTTATTGGCATCGTCTCCTGGGGCACCAGCAACTGCAATGTGCGCGCACCTGCCATGTACACTCGGGTTAGCAAGTTCAGCACCTGGATCAACCAGGTCACAGCCTACAACTGAGCCCACCACAGACCCCTCCCCATCTCAATCCAATAAAGACCCCAGGCTCTGTTTTCTTGTGTCATCTGGTCTGTCTTGGCTCAGGGGCACCAATCCCCACTTGGACTTTGTCTTCTGACGTGGCAGGTGTTGAGGAGCCAGGATCTTCCTAAAGTAGCCATTCCCAGGCTGGGCCTCCATCGCTGGGCCCCCATCCCTCGGCCTCCTGGGTAAACCCTTAGTCCACAGCAAGAGCCCGAGCTGTTGGAATGAATGGGCAGCCTTCCCTAAGGAGGGCAGCCTATTTATTGAGTACAGAGGATACAATTACAAACTGAGTACACAAAATAAATAACTGCACATTCTCCATCCACAGTCCATGGCATAAAGGCCCAAGTCTCCAAATTCCTTCTGTCCTACCTTCAGGACCAGGTCTATCCTGGGCAAGTGAGGAAATAACCCCCCAGGGCTTCAGGCCCCCAGAGGCACTTGGGAAAATTGGGGGAGTTCTGAGGCCAAGGGGCTTGGGCTCTCCACTGCCTTGTGCTGGGGCAATGGGGACAGAAAGAGGGGGTGTATAAGGCACAACTGACTTGGCCCACAGTGGTCTCTTTGGCTTGGTTTCCCACTGGAGGTGGTACATGCAGAAAGAGGAGGGCCTGGCCCAAGGCTACCCACTGGGAGGAACAGAGTGAGGGCAAAACCCTCCCTGCTGGCAGGGGCCCTGCAGTCTACCTAACGCTAAAGCTGGGCCCTGGCTCCTTCCACTGAAAGCAGCTCTGGAGGGAGGGAGCTTGGGTTTCAGCCCAGTTTGTGATGGGGGGAGGCACCATGACTAACATGAGGATGATCTGGCTCAGGCCTCTGGGAAAGCAGTCACCTAATTCCACTCACCTCCTGCAGGGACTCCTTATAGCCTGGGATTCAGTGGGACTCAGACTGGAAGGGTAATGCTGTGAAAGGAAGCGGAGACAGGATGGACAGGGCAAGGCCAGCTGTGAGAAGGCCAGTGCCCCAGGCACTCAGGGTTCAGAGGCAGATCACACAGTATGGCTAAGTTCCAGGGGGAGCGGTACAGCTCAGCAGAAACGGAAAGCTGAGCAGCCCAGGGACCCTCCCTCAATGCAGCAGCTCCTTCCTTCCCACTTCCTCTTGGAGGATGAAAGGTGGGAACGGTGTTCTTTACTAGGCTGCCTATACTCATGCCAGACACTAGATGGTGCCTTCATACAGCTGCAGAGGAGGGAACAGCAGAGCCTGAAGAGAAAGGGCAATGGGGAGTACCAAGCATAGACCAGGACTGACACTGGAATCCTGATAGGGCTCTCCCGGAGAAGCCCCTGCCCTCTGCCTTGGCCCAGGTGCCCCTAACCCCCAGGTAGCAGCAGTGGGGCTCCCTTTAATCCCCCACGGTTGGGAAGGAGGCACCTGGGGAATAGAGTGGGAATTTAAGAGAGAGGGGGAGGTGATGGTAGGCTCTGCAAAGGAGGCACTGAGAGTGGTGGGCTGGTTGGTGGTGAAGAGAGGTTGGAGCCTGGAGCAAGCCCGTTACCAACACGGCCACACAGTCCAGAAGGTCCTGGCAAGTCCTGGGGCCAGGAGTGGTCCTTGTGTTCTCCATGAAGGAAGACAGATCTTGGCTGAAAGGTGGGGGCTGTTTAGACTTACACAGAGGCTGAGAGTCTAGCCAAGGCACAAGCTTTGTGCCTACCTGGGTCTCTCACTGGAGCATAATCATGAGGATCAGGATGCCATGGAATGTGGGGGGCCAGGGAGGAAGGTTTGGTGGAGGAAAGGGGGGGAATCCAGAAGTAACTGTCCCAAAGAGTCCTGGAACCACAGGACACCCTCTACCTGGCACTGCATGCCCCTTTGGTCTGGGGAAGAGCCAAGGACAAGAGGTGAGGGACACTGAAGGCCAGTCCTGCCCTTTCCCCAACTTGTACCAGAGCAATTGTCCACCAAAAAGAGCATCAGTGCCAGGCCAGGCTTCCAGCCCCCTGGGCTCCCTCCACTCTGTCACACCATGCCAGGCCCAGGGTGAGGATGGGGCCTGCTGAAGGCACAGAGAAGGGGCCGGGGCCATTCACCTACCACTGGCCATACAGGCCTATCTCCAGAGAGGGCATTGGGCTCAGATGGCACAGCAGTGTGTGACCATGCTGGGACCATGCCATGTCTCCACCACTGCCAGGCAGCTCAGCCATTGTACTGCTGCTGGTAGCGCAGGTTGAGCTCCCGCAGCTCCCGCTCCCGCACACGGCGTGACTTGTTGGAGCGTGTAGAGCGGCTGGAACGTGTCGACTGGGCAGATTTGGTGCTCTGGCAGCGTGAGGAGGCACGTTTGAGGAGGTTCTGGGAGATGGAGCGGTGCAGATTCTTCATGGACGAAGAAGCTGCCATGCTCACCACCCACGGGTGCCTCAGGGCCTGCAGTGCAGTCATACGGGCACCGGGGTCCACTGTCAGCAGGCGGTCGATGAAGTCCTTGGCCAGGTTGGACACGCTGGGCCAGGGCTAGAGGTCAAGGACAAGCATTATAGCGAGAGCATTCAACACTGCCTTCTCCATCCCGATGATGCCACCACCACAGCATTCAGACCTGTCCAGTGTCCCTGTACTCTCCCACTAGAGGGAGGCACTGCCTGGCTCTTCCCATGTAGAACATTAGGGGCCTCCCTTCCCTACCCAACACTGGCCTTGGCCACAGAACAAAGGCTACTGTCTGGGTGACAAGGGGTCTGATAAGGAGGAACAGCAACCCCCCAAAGAACAAACTTCTAAGGTGCCCTGGACTCAAAGCCTGGCTCAGGGAGGTGGCCCCTGTCAAGACCCCCCAACTTACACCACAACCACTATACCTCAGGGGGATTTAAAGAGAATGACCCAAACCTTCCACCATATCCTAAGCCAGGCTTAAGCTCCAATCCCTGGAGGTTCACACCAGGCCAATTAGAAATGAACCTTCTAGTCCTTAAAGAGAGGGTCCACCCTCCCTCCAAATGACCAAGTCATGGTGGGCAACCACTGCAGGCCATACATCAGCCTTGGCCACCCAGCCATGGGGAGAAAAGGAAACAATTCAAGGCAGCTAGATTTCACCATCTGCTGAGGGTTCATGCAGGCCAGACAGGGACCAGGACCCTTTTCAGGGGCACTCTCCAGTCTGCATGGCCTCTCTAAGCCACGCAAGGTCTCCTGGCAATCCTCTACACCAGCCTCATTTTAGTACATTCTGTTCCCAGGGAGGAACAGCACAAAGCCTGCTCTGCCACATGCACCCATGGCTACTGCATCTCAGCCACACACGAGACAGCTATCCATCTCAGCAACTCAACCTGCATGGCCTGTCTTCACCTGGCTGAATTCTTAGGTTCTCAGGGTAAAGGACACTTGCTCAGACTCCTTTTTAGCCCCCAGTGCTAAGCAATTATTTCAGCGATTTACAGTTTATTGTTCCCAATAGACCAGACTGAACTGGATGAGCCCCAGTGCCTCGTGCTGGGCATATAGGAGGCACTCAGATACAGGCTCAATGAGTAAATAACCCATGGATGGCACCTGATGGGTGCCCTCCCCTGGAGCTGCTTTCAGACTGTGGGGCTCAGGCAGGTAGGGCCCAGATGCCCTTGGCCCTCAAGCCCCTCTGCTGGAGGGCAGACACAGCACTGCTCTGAGTCCCAGGATCTCCCAGGGACACTTTGGCATGGGCTCTGATGCTCCCCAAAGGGTGGGTGGCTGAGCTTGTGGCGGATGACTATCACCCTCCTTGCCAAGTGAGGTCTGCCTGTTTCACCACACAGTGCCCTTCACCTTGGGGAACCCCTGAACGCAACTCTCCAGGGAGCTCGGGAAAATCTGAGCACCCATATTTGGGGCAGCTGCATGCCTATTAAGCAGACACACTTACACAGTGACTATTGCTGTCCCCAGTCAGGCTCCCTTGACCTCCAACTCCTCTCCCATGCCATTGCCCATTAATGTACAGGGTTGGGGTAGAGAGATCGTTCATCCATCCTGAGTCCTGAAGAAGGGGAAGGGCTACTTGCAGTTGCTACCCTTAACTGCCCTTTGGAAGGCAAATCTCAACTTTTACAGAGCTGAGCTGAAAGACAGTGACAGAGACCACATTTCCAAAGAGCCACCTAACAGGGTCTTCCTCACCAATGGGCCAGCTCCCAGAGTTTCTGAGGAAATACTGGCCCTCAGGAGGAGGGCGGGCAGTCAGGGCCTCAGGAACATACAGCCCAGGGAGGCCTACAAATACCTTGCTGTCTGAGAGCAGTGAGGGGGTGCGGGGAGCAAAGGCCGTCCCACACAGACAGCCTGGTTCATGTTTCCCTGCAGGCCTGTGTAGCTCAGGCCTCCAGTACAGAAGCCAACATTCAGGGTGACTGGACTGGACAGTTGTCACAGTAGCTTGTGTCTCACAATTCAAGAAAGCCCATGGATTGCTGCTGCCACCTGAACACAAGGAGCCAATGTGAGGGGCCAGCCAATCTGGACCACAGACACTCACTGAAGCCCATGTCACTCATTTAAGAGATGAGAAAAAGACGGCACAGTGGGACTGCTGGTGCAATCCAGCAATCCACAGTTGGACAGTTTGGGTCATGGGCATGTCGGCTTTTATGGTCTTCAAGAGAAGGAGAACTCTCTGGGGAACACACTGCAGCTCAGCCTGGCCTGTTGGTGGGACAGCCCCAAGACAATGTTGGCAGCTTGGGCTAGCCCAACAGGGCTGGGACATGGATTTTGCCCATTTCTTGGTCCAGCTAAGACAGAAGAGGAGCAACTCCTCTGTACAGAGAATAGTGGCAAATCTAGACTCACAAGCCAGGAACTTGAATATGGATGAACTGGAAGCCTCTCCACTTTACATCCACACCCAGCCAAACCAAGGTCCCCTGCAGCTCCAAACCAGTCCAATGAAGTCTTAGATGGGCCTCTTACAAAACCCACCCTGTGGGCTTAAGCATCTCAATCTCCAGAGTGACACAGGCACACACCAGGCATCAACCCCTGCTGCTTGTTCGAGCGGCCAGCCTGTTAGTGCCAAAGCGAGTCAGATTGATCGGCCTCTCCTCCTCCCCAAACGCTCGCCTCTCCAATTATTTGTGTAAGTGCGGATGTGTGCAAGATGCCAATGGACTAATTTGTCTGAGGGCCAGCCCAGCTCTCTCTGGCAGACCCTAGCTCTCCCCCATCTTTGAAGAGCTGTGAGCAGCTGGGCCAGGTGGGTCCCCCAAGCCAATGTGATTCAAGCCATGCTGACTTGAGAACCAGGTGGTGCCAATGGCACCCAGCCTAACTCTCACACCCTGAGGAACTTGAAGCAGGAAGTCAGGCAAGCCAAACACAGGGAAGGTGGTCCTCACCCAGCCTACTGACAGCGAGGAAGGGCTTAGGTTGACTTCCAGAATAAAGGCCCCTAGGAGCCTTGCTGAGGCTTCCAACGGGGCTCAAAAAGGAAAACCAAAGCTTTACTAAAATACTCCCATGGCCATGTTTCCAGCCCTAAGTCCAATTCAGCACGCCATAAGAAAGCGTTCGGTACCTGCAGACCAACCCACCTCCTTCCTCAACAAGCCTGGGCCTCTGGAACCACATGAGCATGTCTGTCAGCCTATGACTGATTAGCCAGGAAGTATTCTGAGCATGAAAGAAAGAAAAATGATGAACAGTCATGCCCTGGGGTTTCTATAGCTCTAACTGCTGGCTCAGGGTAAAGAACAAAACTCTCACTTCTGCTGTGGGATCAGAGGACAGCTGCAATACCCAGGATGACAGGCTGCACCCTCCTTTCCACAAGTCTCCCATGAGTTGTGTAGGTAGGGAATGGGCTCTGCCCCAGAGGAAGACAAAGAGAGGCTGTGGGAGGAGGGTCATCACCTCCACCCTGGCTCTCACTATCAAGCAGGCTGCCCTTCTCCCTAGTCCATAGCCCCCAGAGTCCTTGTCCCCTTGTAGTTAGGGTACCTACTCCTGATGTTGTCACAACAGAGAAGCCAGCAGTGGGTAGAGGAGGGACCTCTCTGTGAGCACTTCCTTACCAACTTCACCCACCTCATCCTCCTGCTCCTGTGGGACCAGTCACTCCTCAGTAGCAGAGTCCAACTCTTCCTTCAGAGGGAAGCACCAAATCACAAAGGGCTTTCCACTCCAGCTCAGAGGAACTTGATACCTCCCCAGCCCCGCAACTGGCTACCTTTAATGTCACAAGGGCCTGGCAAGAATATTACCCAAGCCACGGCCAGTCTCACCCAGAGCCCAAGGGCTCAAGGAATAAAAGATGGAGTCAGCTCTCTGGCCTCGGCTGCAGAAAGAGGAGGAAGCTGCTTCTTTGCAGCAGCAAACCCGGATCTCAGGCTTGCCCTACATACCCTCTGGCCGGCAGGTCTGGCCACTCTGAAGTGAAGGAAGAGAAAGGTCTGGTGTCTCTTCTAGATGGCATCTGGGTGACAGATTAAAGTGTTAGGCTGCAAGCCTAGCAAACTGAGTTTTAGTTCTACCTTCTCTGTGTGACCTTAGAGAAATCACAGCCTCCTCAGTGGAGTACAATTAATTCTAAATCTCTTCCAGTTTCTAAAATCCTGGATTTTAAGAAGATGGCTCCCCATCTTTTTTTCCTCATTTGGCTGTGTGAGGAACAGAAACATAGCATCTAACATTTAAGCTGATTTGACCTCTTGATGTGTATGGGTTCTTTTCCAGCCCATGATGACTCTGGGGAAGGCCCTGACAGAGAAGGCAGCCCCACCAAAGAGCTGCTAGAGGAAGCAAGGGAGCAAAGAAGCCTGGGCTTTGCTCCCATGACTCAGTTCTTCCCTCGGCTTTGTCTCAGCATTCCAAAGGCCTCCTTCCAGTACTTATGTGGGCCTGAATGAGAGCAGAGAAAAGGGCACAGCAGAAATTCTGGGGAATGAAGCTTCAGGTTTACTCAGGGGAGCAGAACTATTATCATGACAAGAACAGCACACACTGATATTGCCCACAAGGAAGTGGTTTTGAAAACTTGAGAATTAGACGCTGTGGCAGTGGAGCCAGCATTCCTTTCTCTGGTCAAGACACTCACCATCCTGGTGCCTGGGCTTCCAGACCAGACAGAATCCACCACCCTGGGACCAGGCAGGGGGTTGGGTGGGGGCCGAGCAGCAGAAAAGAGAAGGACGTTGGGGAAGAGAGCCTGAGAAGAAAAAAAGGAGGAAGATAATAGAGTTTTAAAAAGAGGCAGAGAAAGAAGATAAATACAAAAGTGAGAAAAGGCATGACAACCTCAAGGTTAGTAAAGCTGCGTTCTGAAACTTGAGAAGAATGTGAAGTTTTGTGCCCCATTATTCCTGCCCAGAGTCTACAAAGTGAAGGACAGGGACAGGGTGCAACTCCAGAGTCAAGAAATTGTCAACTATAATTTAATATATATATATATAGTCACAGAATGTGGAGTATAGTGTGGGGAGTGGAGTCAACAGAATTGTAATAGATATGTATGATAGCAGGGGGTGGTGAGGTGGATTGGGGAAGGGGGGTTGTCACTTTGTGAGGGGTGAAAAGTGTAACTATTGCATTGTTTTTTACACCTGAAACTAATAAAAAAAAGAAAAGAAATATGCCGTAGGAATCGGGGGGATGTTGGTAACCTGTGCCAGCAACCCAGTAATGTGTGCCTTTAACAATGTCCTAGAGCAGCCCTGGAAGGTTCTGGGTTTCAGAGCCTGCTGCATAGTGGTTTTTTCTATCTCCACTCAGGGGTTCCGTTGAGGCCAGGCGGTTTCCAGGACCCAGCCAGGCTTTTTTTTTTTAACTTCTAAATCTAATTTAATTAGAATTCTAATTATTGAGACAGTTTAGAAACCTGATGGCTGTTATATCACCCACACTGTGTCCTGTGTCCCAGAGGTCTGTGTCCCTGGAACCATGAGTACACTGGCTCAAAAGCAGACATTTAGTCAACATGGGGTGACAAGATGAATGAAGAAATGAAGGTGACACGGCTTTCTGTCCAAGCCAGCCACATCACACCAGAGAGGTGCTCAGGTCTAGGCACACCTGCACTGGGAGACAGACAAACTTGAGGCCGGGCAGGCATGCACAAGAAGGGTGATTTGGGGGCCGGCCGAGTGACATGCTGGTTAAGAGCTGGCTTGGGACGCCAGAGGGCCCCGGTTCAGATCCCACATATGAGGGCCAGTGACACTGCCCTCCACAGCTAAGATGCTGAACAACAGCTCAACCTGGAGCTGGGCTGCCGTGAGTCGCCGGCAACAGCATAGGCTGCAGCCCCTGCTGCAGTGGGTTGCCATGGGCTACCGTGTGTAGCCAGCAGCCAGCGTGAGTGGCCAGCATCAGCCATGAGTGGCTGTCCAGAAGCCAGCAACCCATCTGCCTCACCTGGGAAGAGCACAATGATGGTGCCAGCTTGGGCCAGTGAAGCAACGTCCTCCGCAACTAGACTGAAGAACAAAAGGACAGCAACTTGTCTGTTCCCCTTCCCCCAATTCCCCAGCCCTGTTCCCATCCTCCAATTCCCCAATAAAAATCTTTAAAAAAAAAAAAGGAGGGTGATTTTGTGTGATGGCAGAACTGACCAAGGACAAAAAACCTGGAGAGGTACGGCCTGTGGGAGGTGGTTGGACCAGTGGCTTCTGTCTCAGTGGGAACAAGAGGGGGATGAGTGTGGGAGGCCATCAGTGGATTTAAAAAGGTCATAATGTGGGAGAGACAACAGCCCCAGCAGCTCCCAGAGAAACTCGAGGGCCTAGAAGCGACAGGGCCTGTGAGAGGGCAGAGCTATCCAGGTGGAGACAGACAATAAGAACAGGAGAGGGAGGGTACAGATGGTGCACCAGTAACAGCTCTGAACACAGCCCACGATACACCCCCTTTGCTGGAGAGGCCTTGGTGGGGGCCGGGGGTGGGAAATAGCAGTGATGAAAGGAGGCTCCGACCCTAGGTTAACGAGATGCTGTAGGCAGTCAGAGTAAGGCGTTTCAGTAGGAATGGCTGAATGCAGCAATATGGGGAGATGGGCACTTGTTTCTGCCACCAAAGGAATGTACTGCTCTCTGGGGATGTACTGCAACCGGGACAGCAGCGGCAGAGGGATGCCTAGAGGACAAGGCTCCAGGGAGCCAAGTGGTGGCCCATGAAGAGGGTGCTGCCCCTCTCCACTCAAAGCCTGCCTCCTGCTGCCACAAGAAGGGAGCCATTTCTGCCTTCTTCCAAGAGGTCTGCAACCAAGGGGTGGTCTGCAACAACACTGACCAGTGAGGCACCAAACCATGCCACCGCCCAGTGACCAGTCAGGGACCTGGATTGAGGGCATCTACTCCTGCAGCGAAGGAGGGAGATTTATCTGTTGAATACCTACTATGTACCAGGAGCTTTGGTGAGGTAGGGAGAGCCCTTCCTGAGGGGTTCTTCCTGTACAGGTATAGGGGCTTCTGCTCCTCCTCTTGGGATCCCTGAATAGAGCCAGCAGCATCATTCAGCACTTGACACCCAGCAGCCACCAGCAGGCAGGCAAGGAATAAGGGCTCAGGGATACCGCTGAGCAAAGAATTCTAAATCAATTTGTGTGTGTGTGTGTGTGTGTGTGTGTGTGTGTGTGTGTGTGTGTGTGTGGTTGGAGGCGTGTGGGGGGGTGGTCAGCTCTTGAGACAGGCACAAGAAAGCCATCCTCTGACTCTGGGAGCAGGAGACACTGAGAGAAAAATGGGGAGCTGATGGTCCACCACAGACGCCATCCACACTGGAGGTGGGAACAGGAGGTCATTAAAGGCATCTGGCAGAGCCCAAGCACGAGCCGGGAAACGTGCCACCTTCCTCCCTGCATTCCGTCTGCTGCCTAAACACACATCCAGTCTCCAGCTCTCCCACGTCCCCAGGCAGTCCTCCCCATGGCTCTGGAGCAAGGTTCTATACCTGCTCATCTGCTGCTCCCTGTCAGAGCATGTGAACCAGCACCCACAGGCACTTAACCCCGTCACCTACAGGGCACCAAGACATGCCACATCCTGTCTACTTCATTTTATTTTCGACAGTCCAGGGCCAGATGGCAAGTATTAGAGTCACTTTGAGAAGTGGAGAAGAACTGAGAGAGGAATGTGAACATCGACTCTGGCTCTGGGCACTCATCCTACTGCAGAGCTATCAGGATTGTAAGATGGCCCAACTCACTGCCGTTGGACACCAAGTAGATCGATGGTCAGCCCACAGTCCAGAAACCCATCCCTGAAAGCCACTTCCCACCAACACTTATCCCCTAGGTAATGGCAGATCGGCTCCCACTAGGATTCTGTCTTCTGCCCAGCAGCACTCTCCTGAATGAGGTTCTCTGTGAAAACCTTTGCTCGAGCCCATCTGTTCCTGGTGTAGTCACCTGGGCTCGCCCACAGCTCAGAGATTGCCCAAGCAGAGGAGGGTGACAGTTAAAGGTTGCTAAACATGGAAGGCAGCAAAGCTGCTGATGGCATCTCTCTGCCATCAATCTTTCAAGAGCCTCTTCATCTGTCCCACCTCTAGGAATAGAACTCTTGACAAAAGCAATGACACTAGGCCTGCAACATCATATTTCTTGTCAAGTGAATCACAGAATCTCCAAGCGGAGCCATAACAGTCTCCTAGTATGGGTCTACAGATGGTGACTCACCTTCTGCGTCATTCCTTTAGAAACAGCTGCTCCAGCCCTCCGGGGCCCTTCCATGACAGGAAGCTCGCTCTCTCAAGGTGGCTCTTTGTGTCTTCAGATGTTCTCACACTCACATAGGCCTTCCTCACATCCAGTGAGTCTCCCCATCACTTCCACTGTGACCCTAGCTTGGCCCTCTCCACTGTAGCACCTCCAGTCACTGAGTAAAAATTCAGACTTCTCCTCTCAAAATCATGTCACAACCTTCTCCTTCCCACCACTCCTTCCTCTTCCAAGATTCCCATGTGTGCTTCGAAGCAGGTCTGGCCCGCAGCCCCCTCAGCACGCTGCCAGCAAGTTCCTCACTTCTTCCTGGAGTCCAGCCCCCCAAAGACAGCACTCCCAGCCAGCACGGGCAGCCCAGTCTGCCTGCCAGTCAGTAACTTTTGTGTCCCTTCTGAGGGCATCACCAACAGCCGCTGGTATTTCCCTCAGGAGAAGCCAGGAGAAAGTATTGAGAGCTTATGTACTGATACACACACTGCCCTCAAGGAATTCACAGTCCAGGGAAGCAAGAGGGGTCCCCAGACAACAGCCACAGAAAAGTGCAGAAACAGACTCCAGCAACATGCTGAGGCACGTGTCAGGGAGAGCAGACTGCAGGGATGGAAAAGTCAAGACCTCTGAAGTTAAGATGGCCTGGATTCAAATCCTAGGCCTGCCACCTTCTAGCTGTGAGACCACAGACAAGTTACTTAACCTCGCTAGCCTCCATTTATCTGTAAAATGGGCTGTTGTGGAGATGAGAGATGTTGGGTACAGAACCCTCAGCCCCGTGCCTGGTACTCAGTAGGCACTACATGATGGCAGTCTCAGCATTATTCCGAAAGGAAGCAATGTTTGAATTGGACCTCTTAGAGCTGGTCAAATTTCTAACGCCAACACTGGAGCAGAGGGTAAAGTCTAAGCAAAAGCTTAGTGTGGGGAGTGTGTGAATGGAGCAAACAAACGTCTTGGGTCTATTGGTGTGTGGGAAATGGGCTGGGGCTAGCGGACCTGGATTATCAGGATCATGGGGGGGCAGGGTACTCAAGGAGGCCCCACTTGGTGCGCTTCCTCCTGCTACTGGGGATGTCAAGGCAGGACGCTACACACTCTCTGGGCCAGAAGGCAGCCTGAGTCCTCTCTCAATCCGCCCTCACAAGCTGATGCCCCTCCTGCACAGCTGCAGGAGGGTTCTGCCCCCTGCTCCTTCTCCTCCTAATCCACTGCTCACACGTACCACATACCACATGGAGCCCACTCTCTGGGATCCCTGATCTGTCCCAAACATCCCCGGGGCCAGGCTACCCCATCCCAAGCTGGGGTTGTTCCAACAGCCCCAAGTCTTCCTCCTGCTAATTTCCCACAACACTTTCTGCTGCATCCCCCCTTCACTGTCAAGAACCCAGAGAGCTCCCTCCCACCTAATGCTTCGAAACCCCAAGGAGCATCTGGCATTACAAAGCTCCCGACACCAAACACCAGGCCTGCTCCACCCGTCAACCTCTGCTCCATACTCCCAAACCACCTCCTGTTGATCCTGAAGCATAGTCAGCAGTCCCCTTCTCTGAGCCTCCTCCTGCTCAAAGCCCATCTCCTGCAGGAAGTCCTCTGTTCAAGTCCACAGAAACCACTGAGCCTGACAGGGGGCTGCATGGACAGAGCCCTTGAGGAACAAGCCAACTAGAAAGGACCTGATATACATGAGATACTGCTATGAGGGGGCAGGAAAAGTGTCACTAGAAAGGTACCAAGTACCATGGGACTTATTGGCAGGTGAGGCATGCACACCTCTAAACCTTGCTGAGCTCAAAATGGGCAGTCCTTTACTTATACAAGGAGTTAGATTGAAACATTCTCCTCAACATGGCATGCTCTCAGGCAGGTTTTCTGGCAGGGCCTTACTCCTTTAGATGGCCTTCATAGGAGCAAATGACTATCACACAGTATGAGACAGATGGCTGGATTGAGGCAAAGGGGCAGGACCCGGCTCTAAAAAGGGGGGCCAGCCCAGCCACCTAACCCAAGTCCCACAGCCCATATTCCAGACTGCCCAGGCCCAGTGGCTCTACGCCAAGGCCTGTGCTGGCATATGCCTGAAACAAGAGTTCATTCTGTGGCCAATTCCTATTTCTAGTCTTTCTTCCCAAGCAATCTCAAGCCCCATAGGGATGGTAAACAGACCTTCATGTCGCTCTGCATCTTCCCCAGGTGCAATTATGGGTAGGTAATGACCAGCAAGACAGAAAAACAGATGCCTGGTCTCCAGCTCAGAGAGCCTAATCTAATAATGATGAGGACTCCTCGCCCAGGAAACAGCCCAGATAAAATCCCTCCCAATCCAGAGTTCTCTGTAGAGAGTAGTGGAATCTTTTTGAGGTCAGCCAAACTCCCGGTAACAGACAGTTGCTTTCATGGCTGACCAGGGATTTGACTCTGGAACTGGGAGCTGATGAACGGTAGTGGTGACAAAGGCTGGGCAGTGCCCCCAACCCCCACAAACAATGGAAGCCCCAGGCTCATGCCCTGTGATTCCAGCAGATCAGGAAGTACAATCTCAGGACGCAGTCTTGTGGCTACAGTAGAAGCAGGTAGCCTGAGTCCATTCCCTACCCCATTCATTTGTCATCCTACCCTCAGATAATCAATAGCCAGTTAGCAAGACTCTGCAAGCTCCAATGAGATAAATTGCCCGATCAAACAACTGCCAGAATCAGGAACTCTTGGGCAAAACGACAGACTTTTCTAAATAGTCTTTCCTTTGTCAGCATCTCTTACGAAACTTCCCTCTGTCCCATAAGCTTGCTACTCCCTCTGCCAGCCGAGCTCCAGGGGCTAAAGTTCCCAGAGCACAGCAAGCCAGGCAGGGCTTAGGAACAAAACTGCCTCTGGGAGGTAGATTAGGGCTCTTCTGACCCGTGATGAAACCCATCCAGAGGGTGAACAGGACGATGTCTTCTGTAACCACCCCACTGCAGCCTAGGATTCCCAGTTGGTCAGCGCTTGTTTGTTGAATCCATTTGGACCAAGGAGTAAAACGTGAGACACTTGAGGGGAGAGCTTGGGAATGTCCCAGTGTCTCCTTAGCCTGTGGCCAGCACAGAGCTGGCCTAAAGAGGAAGGCTTTCCTCCCTTGCTCACACCACCCTGAGACACAGGACCTGGGGATCCCCTAGAAGACTGCCAGTCCCCCTCACCACGGGAGAGAAGTCCTGGACTGACCCTAAGACTATGTCTGGAAGCTGAGGGAGGATGATGGAGCACAGGACCTCAAGCACTGAAGGCAAAGTGGCGTGAGGCTTTTGGGTGACTGCTGCAGAAAATGCTGCTCTTGGTCAGTTGGCTGGGCCCAGAGAAGGCCCAGTCCAAAATCCCTGGGAGGAAAGCTGGGCCGCAGAAGGGAGCTCATCCCAGAGCTCCCTCCGCTCCATGTGGATTGTTCAAGAGGCATGGACACCTTCTCAGCAAGCCCAGGCCTGAGGGGGACACTGTGGGGGGGTACTCTGTAGGAGGCACTTGGGGACAGGCCCTTACTGCCTTGGCAGAATCCTATCATTCTACAAAGCCCACCTCACCTCCCACATAAAGCCATAAACATATTTTCTTTATAGCCTCCCTGAGCACACCATTATGCTCTAGCTTGCAGCATTCCCTGCGGTCACCCTTGTTTCCTACCCAGTCAGCGTCCCGCCTAAGGACCAACCAGCTCTTAACTTCTTCTGCACCTTCCCTTAGCTCCCAGCAGTGCTGTGTTTCTTGGATTCTGTCAGGTATTAGAATTATCAGTGGATCCAAAGACACAAACTGATGGCCAGCTCTGAATCTGGTCTGCAGGTTGGCGTTTGTTGGCACACAAGGTACTGCTTAAATACATATGTGAATTAGATTTCAACATTTTCTGGTTCATTTTCAAAAATTAGAATGTCTGGATACATAGGGTCCTCACTGATGTGTGGCAAAGCTAGGCAGATATGAGAAGCAGCTGCTCCTTTAGACAGGGTACGGTCACTCTAGCTTGCTCCAGTTCCCACAGAACAGATACTATGGAGACCCTGGCCCACCTCCTCTCAGACCACCTGAGCTCACCTACAGTTGTGCTGCTCCTGTGCATGCTGATAGCTTCCCACTGCCAGTGCCTACATTTCTCTGCTGCTTTGCCTGAGGACTTTCTCCAGCACTGGATGGCATTCAGGGCAGCCCAGAAGTGTCAGGGATTTAATGGCCCCAAAGAAATTCTTGACTCATACAAGAGTCAGTGAATTGAAAACCACCCACTTCCCTGCCCATCAGTGGTACAATTCTGAGACACATTCCACATGATTATTCACAGCATCCCCAGTGGGACTAAGTTCCAGTGGCCCACAGTGGCAGTCCAGTCCTTAATGTACCCTTTATTGGCTTTTTGTCTTTCTGCCTCACTTTCCCCACCCTTTAGTTGTGCTTACTGGAATCACATCCTAATTAAACTTCCTGCTCCCAAGTCCTTGTCTCAGGGCTCACTTTGGGGAAAACCCAAACTAGGACACCGTACTAGTCTCACTTCATCATTTTTACATCACCTGCCTGGCCCCACCAGCACGGCCATCAGAGCACACCTCTCTGATGAAAAGCTGCAGAGAATACCCCATACACACACCCAGGGGCCTCCCAACATCTCCAGGACCGAGCACTCACCTCCCCCAAGTAACTGTACTTGCCCCTGAGGATCTGCCGGTACAGCCGGGTGCGGTTGTCATCCTCAAAGGGCATAGTGCCACTGAGCAGGATGTAGGCAATGACGCCCAGCGCCCACATGTCCACTGAGTTGGTGTAGGGCTTTCGGACCAGGACCTCAGGGGCAATGTACTCGGGCGTGCCACAGGTGGTCTTCATCAGGCAGTCGTCACCCTTCTTGCGGGCACTGGCCAGGCCAAAGTCAGTGATGATGATCTTGGAGTCGGTGCCTGGGTGGTAGTAGAGCAGATTCTCAGGCTTCAGGTCTCGGTGTGTGATGCCGAGGGCGTGCAGATAACGGACGCCATCCAGTACCATCTGCAGCACCCGCGTGGCGTCACGCTCAGTGAAAGAACCCTTGGCAATGATGCGGTCAAAGAGCTCTCCACCCGTGGCCAGCTCCATCACCATGTACACACGCTCCTGAGTCTCAAACACCTCCACCAGCTGGATGATGTTGGCGTGGCGCACACGGCGCAGCACACGCAGCTCCGACTCACACACCTCCCGCCCCTCCCGGTACTTGGTCTCAATCATCTTGATGGCATATGGCTGCCGGGTTGCCCGATGCTCCACACGTACCACTCGGCTGAAGCTGCCTCGGCCAATCAAGGCTTTGATGTCGTACTTGGCCGTCACACGTGGGTCGAACTTGGCCCTGTACTTAGCCACCCTGGCCCTGCGTGGTGGTTCTGAGGGAGGCTGTATGTGGCCAGTAGTGGGGGCACCCGGGCAGGGGTTTGCACACTGACTGGCTGCTGGGAGCCCAGCTTTGAGAGGGCCAACGCTGTCCACCTCCGTGATGAAGTGCTTGTACACATCACTCTTAGTGCCACTAAAGGGCTCCACCTTCTTAACCAGATCCAGCTGGACATCCTTGGGCGGCTCAGGAAGGACCTTGCTTGTCCCACAGCCCATCACGGACACGGGGGCATCCTCTCCAGCGAGGCTGGCAGGACCTGCTCTGCAGGCAGCGCCCCGTCTACACCTATGCAGACAGAAGAGAGGTCAACTCAACATAGCTGGGGACACCTCTGAAGGGATACCAGCCATCCTTTTCCCCCTTCTCCTTGCCCCTTGATAAACCTAGCCTGAAGACCTGATTAATATGGTTCCCTGGAAGGAAGAACAGCTTTGGCCTCTGAGTGCTCGGAGCCCAGGCTTAATGGAGGATCTAGATGAAAGACTAGATCTGAACTCCATGGTCTTGACTTACATTTTCCTGGATCTGATTTTCATGCTGCTCTTCAACCCTGAGAGAGGAACAGGAACATGTACCAGGCTCAGCTGTCACTGCCCCCACCTTCCTCTCTACTCTGCCTGGGTCCCTTATCCTAGTTGAAGTCCTCTGTTTTTTAAATGTTAAAATCATTCCTCTTATTACTCTGACTCATCTTTCCTGAAATGGGGGTGTGAAGTGTTGGAGGCCTGCTCTCCAACACTATCACCCACCATGGCTCAGAAAGCCGCTTCTCCAAGACCTCCCCCATGGGTATCTTTCCTGGCCCTCTAGATCTCCTGCAGGCACTGATCCCCCTTCAAACACCACCATCACTGCCCACTGCCCTGGGTCTGTACCCTAACCTCACTCTTTCCTGGATGGCTCCCACTACTTTGCTAATGCATCATCTTCACATATTGTTTCAGGGCCTTTTGCTTCCCTAGTCACCATATGGATGGCTAAAAGGCCACCCAAGTCCCAGAGCCGGCTGAAATCAATCCCAGTGAACTGGGGGCCACAGGCCGTAGCACACTGCCACCAGGTAGCCACCAATCTGGGCATCACAGAGGAGGCAGAGGGAGCCTTGAGCTCAGAAAGGACACAGCAACTTCATCCAGATGTGACTCAAGCTGTGGAGCAGAGCATCTGCTTCCCTGAGATGAGGATCCAGGAGCCTCCCTGTTTGCGTCCCAGAGATGTTCAGACCCTGAATACCCTGTGGCTGGTGGGGCCCTGGACAAGATGAAGTGCAGAAGTACTGCTTTCCAGAGGTCATACTGCTTTCCAGAGGTCACTTCTACCCAGGCTACCCTTCTCTAAGTCTATCTGAGGGCCCCATGGGTGCAAGGAGAGGGCTGAGAATTTCCTATTAATTATGACATACAGAATTGGGGGTAATATGATCAGCTCAGAGCAAACATTTATTGAATGTCTACTGGGGAATGAGTAGGATTGCCAGTGTTGGTTATCTTTTAACACACAAACAAGCAAACCATGGTCAATAAACTCAGTCTAAATGAAGAGAAAAGCATAAAAACGAATAATTTCAATACAGCATGGTAAGTGTTCAGCTTGAGAAATAATAGATGATACATATAGAATGATGCAGTGGTTAGGGAAAGCTTCCTGGAGGAGGTAACCCCCACGCTGAATTTGAAGTAAGAATGAGTCAGGTGAGGAAAGGTAGAAATGGTGTTTCAGGCAGAGAGAATAACACATTCAAAGGCCCAGCGGCCCAGAGTAGCACCCTGTGCCTGGAAACGGCAGTTTGGTAGTGTGAAGACAGGACTGGGGGTATTGAAGTTTTGGAAGGTAGTCAGGAACCCGGTTGTGGGCAGCAGCACGAGTCATAGCTAAAAGAAGGACCTAACTGGGAGGTGACTGGAAGCTACCAAAGGGTTATACAAAAAAAGAGAGGCAATTCATGTGTTTAGAAAGAAGTGTGAGGCTGAACTGGAGAGGGTCAAAGTGGACTAAAAGGGCCAGTGGGGAGGGCGGGGGTGGTGGTGACTCAGACAGTGGGGTGGAATGAAGAGATGTCGGAGAAGAACTGATGGGGACTGAGGCTGGACACAAGGGGTGAAAGGGAGGAGTGAAGGCAGCACCTCCACGCCTTACTTGGGCTCCTGGGCAAAAGGGTCAGGAGTGCAGCAAGAGGGATGGGTTTAGGAAGCAGCAGGAAGAGCTGAGTTTGGGATGTGTTGCAGTGCATGTGGAACATCCATATGACATTACTGCAGGTCACTAGGTGTAGAATCTAACGTCTGAAAACAGCTGATCAGGATCAGAGATTCCATGGCTGCCCAAGAGGCAACACCTACACCCACACCCACCCCTTTTCGAAGCCAGCAAAAGATCCTATCAAAGGCAGCAGAGACAGACCCCGGCAGGTTTTGCTGCAGCACCTTGTGGGGGGTCACAGAGAACCCACAGAGGCCATCAGATTCCAGTGGGTCGAGAGCCTGAATTCAAGATGGTGACAGTGACCAATGTAGCCAACTCTTCCAAGGAATAAGCTCATCTCTGAAACATACCCAAGGCCTTGATCACCAATCCATCGGATAAAAATGGGGAATTTGGAGACCACAGATTAAGGGCTCTGGTTTTAATCAGTATGCTCAATCAGTATGTTTTAATCAATATGACTCTGAGCCGAATGAGGTTTATCTTTCCTCACATGGGAGGAAAAGATTCCTCCACCAACACAAGGCTCTTCAGGATTTTCTACAGCTCTCACCCAAATGCCCAGGAGATCGCACATAGCAGCTTAGGAAATAATGCTTCAACATAGGCATTTAGAAGCAAGGTTCCTTTTCAAAGAAGCCAAAGATTAGGACTATGGACTATGGAATTTTGCACACTCATTTCTTCCTTCAGGGAAAACACAAGACCTCAATGCAGTAAGGGCTACAGCTCAGGAAAAGGATGCCTACCTGTTGGGCCAGGGTTCCTGAGGCAGAACACAGGCCCCTGATCCCCAAGAGACCACATGGCAAGCAATGTCTACCACTATTCAGAGAGAAGACAAACTGCATGGGTGACCCAGCACAGCCACTCAGATGTCACTTCTTCCTGGTGAGGAGGCAGAACCCTAGATCCACAAAATAAATAACCATCTCCAGGCATAAACACTGGCTTTTTTTGTTTAAATGTGCATACCTAGTTTGGTCCTGATGAGAAAAACTAAGATTTATAAAAGAAAAAGGCCTGACTTTTCACTTTAAACAAAGCCTGCATAAAAATCTGAAGTCAGCAGCGAGAGAGCCAAGGATTATCCCTCCCTGACCTTCCTTCCTCCTTTCTGGGACATAATTTCTCTCATATTTGTTCCAATTAGGAGCTCTTCAAAGCTGATACTGGTAACCCACCTTCCCAGCTACACATCAAGAGTGAAGGAGAGAAAGTGCCAGCTCTGGGAGGGGAAAATGGCCCAACAGCCTCCAGGTGATCACAGCTGCTCCACGTTCCAATCACATCTATTAAATTCTCTTTCCACAGTTGTCAAATCAAAAGGCAGACCTAAGGACAGGGGAGGTGGCTGACAAAACTCCTTCTGGGAAGGAGAACAGAGTGTTTTCCTGGCCCAGCACAGTGACCAGGGTGGGGGGGGTAAGGGTGGGTGAGGATAACTGGAAAAAGCCTCAGGAGAGACCTCCCAGGAGGGACATACTATGCCAGCTCTCACAAGTCCCTATTCCCTTCACACCACCAATCCGAACACATCTTGCAGAAAGAACTGAACTCTCTAGTCGGCCTCCACATCCTCAACTCCCAGCCTGATCCCACTCAAGAAAGGCAAGCGTGTTGGAGAGAGTGTGGCAGTGGACATAAGTATTCAGCACTACTGTCCTCAGTAACACTCTACAGAAATGACAGGCCAAGAAAGGTAGAAACCTGTCCCAAGCCACTCAGATAGTGATAGTGATGGCTGAGCAAGGACCCAAATCTCCTGGGTCTTCATCCAGAGCTCCTTCCATTACATTGGAAAGACTCCAGAAGTACCTGAGTTGGGCCTCACTAGGTCAAGGCTTCAATCCTTCCTCATACCACTCAGCTAGTGAATCAGCAAACCTTTTCTGAAACCTCCATTCCAAGTACAATCTGGGTCACACTGCTCATTGCTATACTCTTGATTGCCTTTGATCATTAGAGTTGTCAGCCCCTTGAGGGAAGGGGCCACTTCTAGAACTCTCTGGCACCCAGCAAAGTGCTGAGCTCAAAGCAGGCATGTTTGTTAACAATGAATGAAAGGTGGTCTAGCTCTCAGGTTTCTATTCACTGTGCGGCAACAATCCCAGAACCTCAGAAATTTTCAAGTGGCAGAAAGAGGCCAGATGGTGGTTAAACCAGAGCCAGGCTCCCTGGGTGCCTGTGTAAATGTCCTCAACAACAAAGGAAGCCGGAGCTTTCGGGTCTGTTTGGGTCTTACTGATTGTTATCTGAACCCCAAAGCAAGTTTGTCTACAAGCTGCCAGACCTGACCCCATCTGTGTGGGAGGCCAGGGGCCTAAGAGCAAGGATAGATCCTGGAACAACGTCCTAAACACGGAACCCAGGACTGTGGATGTCTCCCAGATAAGGGACGTCTCCCAGACAGGCACCTGGTCCTCTCAAGTAACACCCTCTATGATTGTTCTTCACAGCAAAGCTGCACAACCTTTCGCCTGCAAAGATTTCTATATTCTGCTCCCATGTTTTGAAAGACTATCTATCAAAATTAAGTAGGCAGTAACCTTTCAGTAATCCAAAAAATAATTAACTGCTAAACAGCTTGTCTAACCATCATGACGCAAGATGAGATACCAGGCAAAGAAGCCTGTCACTTTAAACAAAAACCCCTGATCAAGGACCTCTGCAATCCTAGGGGGAACTATATGATTCTGCTTTCTGAAACAGGGAAACTGACATTGGACCAGCAATTTCATTTTCAGAAATAATACTATGAAACCATTTTCATAAGTATGCAAAGATATATTTGTGCAAGAAATTTCATGGCAGCATTCTTTATAATAATGAAAAATGGAAACAACCCAAATATCCATCAGTAAGAGAATAATCAAATAAATTAAGATATAATTATATAATGGAATGCTCTGCAGCTGTTGAAAAAAATGAGGTAAATCCATATATAGTGACAAAGAAAGATATCAGTTACTTAATTTTTTGTGCCAGAATCCATGTCTGTGATGTATTAAGTAGCTTCAAATAGTATGTAAAGTATATGTCCAATGAGGGGTTGAAAAAAGTTATAGACACATATGTATATGGAAAAGAATATCCTGGAAGGGTAGAAGAGAAACTGTTTACAGTGACTGCCTCTAGGGTGTGAGAATGTGAGGAGAATAGGCAGAAGGAAGGAAGAGAGATTTTTACTTCTCGTTTTATATACTTTATATAGCTGTTGTTATATTTTTAAGTCATCACCACATATTACATTTTTAAAGTTAAAATATATATATATATATATATATATATATATATATGGTAGAAATGGATAGACTAGTACATGCATGAGAAAAAAAAAGCTAGAGGACTATACACCAAATTGTTGGTGCTTGTGTCTAAAGACACTGTATTTATTCACTCTTGTAATGTTTAACTTTTAGTATTATTTCACAATAAAAATTATTCTGACTCCTTTTTAGAATATAGTAACTCGGTACCCCACTTCTTAAGGACTCCAGCTAGGCACCACTCCTATATATGGTAATAATTGGTGGGCAGAGACTCCTGCCTTAGGGCTGAGAGAGGGAGAGAAGTTTAAAAGTTTGCTCCTCCTCATTTTATTGTGACCCCAACTCCATCTAAGACATCCCACCCACTGCCTATCCCATCATCGGAAATACAGATTCTGGCAATGTACCTGGGGTTCTCCTTCCAAAATCCCTAAGTTCAACCCACAAACATTTGCTGAGCTCCTGCTGTGGGCCAGAAACTCTGCCAGGGACTGTGACAGACAAAAAAAAGGTAGCCATAGTCTCTGCTCTCAAGGAACTTACAGGTGGTTCCACACCAAAAGTCCCTTAATCCATTACTCTTATGATGCCCTGTGAGGCCTTCAAGGCTGGTGGCCTGGAAGGGGCCCCTCTGAGATATTTTCCCCTAGCAAATGAAAACACATTTTTCTACTTTAGCATCACATTAGACACCATGGCAACAGAGGGCCGTACCAAGAGTTAGTTCAGTGATGACCTAGCCAACACAAATCAGCTTAATGCTAAGAGTCTTAGAAGAAAAGAGAGTTCAATAAATAAGTCTCTCTCCAGCACTCAACAAACATAATGCTGTCCCTTCTTGCAGGTACTTCTCAAAATTTTCTGTGTACCCTGTGGTCAATGGAGATAGCTGCTCTCAGCTATCTCCAAGCTTAAGGGTCAATGCTTTGGCACCTATGGCCCATTCATGTCATACAGTTGAGAAGCTCTGAAGAGGATCAAAGTTGCCCACATAATATGCTCACATTTATAAAGTAAAACAGAAGGCAAAACCAAAGTCTCACCCATTTAACTGTGAACATTTAACTATGCGACTGACAGAACCCCAGTATCTATTTCAGATTCCATAGACACTAAAATCTGCAGGGGTATTCCATTCCAAGTGAGGGGCAACTCTAGCTCAGTGTCACAGGCAAACAGGTTTCCTGAAAGCTGCACTTTCTCTAAATCATTAATATAACTTAACAAGTGCAGGAACTGCAATTAGGCTGGACACTGTTTATTTAGCAAACCCGCCCTCTAGTGAGTCAGCATTCTGAATCTCTTCTAGGGGAATGGCCAACTACAACTGCCCTAAATAGAAACAGTTTTGTCAAAGGTTTTCCTGATAACCAGAAATGACTTTCAGGAAATCACACAGCACAAGGCTGCTTCCTACATGAGGCTGGGTCTGAAGAGCAAACAGGCTTTTACTAAGATGAACTCTCCTTTTGACAAGGGACACACTCTGGGAAGAACAGCCATTACTGGCTTCCGTCTGCTGAGCTTCAACTGTGCTAAGTGTCTTATAGGCATTCTCAAGTCTCCCTGCAACCACATAAAGTAGACATGATTATTCCTATTTTGGAATGACCAAACTAGGACTCGAAGAGCCTCAAGATCTCATAAAAAACAAGAACTGACTCCCAGTCTTTCTGACTCCAAAATCCATACTTCTAACCACCAAATTGTACTGCCTCCTCAGGGTATGGGTATGAGACTGCAACAGGAGCCCATAAAGCACAGCTAGCCCTTCCCACTAAACAAAGACACAACAGTCTCTTGGGGGCAATGAGAAAGGTCTTCAACCAAGAAGCACAGTAAAGTCACCTGGAGTTTTTTCTAAACATTGATCCAGATTCCAGATCTTCTGAATCAAGTAAGGTTCTTGAATTTGTATCTAGAGAAACTACCCTAAGAGATTTTAGTCCATCAAGGGTGACAAGGCTGCACTACCTACCACAGGCATATGTGTGCATGTGCAAACAAGATACACATGTGCTGTGCTCATCTCAGATCCTGGGCCCTGATAAGTGCTCATTACAGCTGAATCAGTATCCATTCTTAAACCAACATCCTATCCCGGTGGAGTTAGCTCCTACTTTATGCCAGCCACAGAGCCAGACACTCAGATGCAGACAGAAGTAAGACACAATCCCCAAACCCACCATCATGTGACACAACACGATCTACTCAACAGCAGTCGCAAGAATAAAAGTACAGATGAGTCAATGGTTACACGTGAAATAAGAAAAAGAAAGGCTTTTCCAAGGAAATTAAATCTAAGGTGAATTTTAGAGCACTGATGTAAATTTTCCACACTGGTGGGTGGAAGGGGGAAAGAAGAGTATTATAAAACAAGAGAACTGCATATCTAAAGCTTATGGGTATTAAACCACAAAGCTAACAGAAGGCTCACATGCCTCAATAAAATATGTAAATAGAAGGCTAAAGTGCCCAGGTGTTGACTTCAGGGTTTAGGTCTCTACCAGATATTGAAGTGCCCTGAATGCCTTCCAAAGAAGCTTGGCTTTTATCATGTAGGTACCAAGGAGCCAGTTTTAGGCAGTGAAGGACTTATTCAGATTTTCAGGAGGGAATTACTTCAGCAGCTTCATTTAGGGGGAGGGGAGCATGGGGGTGGGGGTGGGAGGCTACCCCTTATAAGCAGAGAAATGACTGGCTTGCAGGGCAGGCAACCCAGCTAGGCTCAGGCCTGCTTTTTCCCAGTCTGAACAACAAGGAAGCAACCAGCTCCCGCCAGCCCCTGTAGTGGAGTCGCAAAAGAGGAGTGAGGAGCTGGACACGAGACGGCAGTGAGGACAACAGGGTTAGTTCACCATGACGGACGCCAACTGGCTAAACAGCAGGCAGGGCAGCTAACCAGGTCCACCAGGCCCACGCGGCCCGAGACCAGCTACCCAGTGCAGCAGCACATTTCGAGACCAGTTCAGCCTCGGACACCGGGAACCCCGAGCAGGCATCGCCTGGCCTGTTCCCCTGCCCGTAGGCCCGGGCATACCGGGCATGGGGCGAGGGCTCCGGGCTGGGTAAGGGCAGGCCCGGTATGCCAGGAAACGTCTGTGGCCACAGCTTATCAGCCCCTCCCGCCAATCGGGCCGTCGCCCTGGGCCGGGCCGCCTCACCTCACGGGGGCGGCGGGCTCTTCGGCGTCTAGGCGGCTGTGCTGACCCTCTCCGGGCCGAGGCCACTGCCGCTGCCACCGCCACCGCCGCCATCCTCAGGCGTTAGCGTCGTGGCGTCATCACAGCGCGCGCTTGACGCCAAAACAAACCTGGGCCGCCTACGGGGCGGAGCGGGGGTGGGCCCTCGGAAGGACCGGCTACGCGGTTGGCGGCACTCCGAGCTTGGCCTGCCAATCAACGGCTTCAGGGCGGGGACGGGAATCTCTTTAAGGGGGTGAGTTTATCTGTCGCTCAAAGTTTATAGGCTGGCGAAGGAACCTGTTACAGAAAAAAGAGGGACCGCGGGAAGTAGGGAGAAAGTTTCAAGATTCTAATGTGGAGGGAAGGCGCTGTGTCTTACGAGGTTGGGGACATTGTGCGTTTCAACAGAGGTTTCTGGAAGTATCTCTGGAACTCCGCATAGGATCGATTTAAATTTCATTAACAAATCTATTTTTGAAAATTGCAGTTAAAATAATTCAGACACTCGCATGTGTTAAATTTGGCCTCAATCACAGGGAGTTGAAAATGGTTAACTCGAGGATTGGTGAAGTCGGTCTTGGATTAGATTTTTGTTTTAATTTTTGTTGTTACTGAATTTAAGTGCATCTTAAAACAGCAAATCAAGTAGATTTTTTTTTAAAGTGTTACCATTCACAATGACTTCTCTATGCAATCACAATTGGCTCACTACTTTACAGTCAACCCAAATTGCAGGGGGGAAAAATAGATACTGCAGGTAATGAGATGGTAACCTCCATCCATCTTTCTCATTTCAGTCCATTTATTCAAAAAGTCTTTGTTGAACATTTACTTCACACATGGACCTGTCTTTAATTGACTGTATAAGCTAATGTTATACTTTAAACCTAAAAATAAATTAACAACAATAAACATCGTTTTATGTGTTTTATTTAGTAGGGATCATAAGAGATTTTATTTAAAAACGAAAAACTTTAAAAATGGCTTCCAAGTCTAGTGTAATGATTAGGGGCATGGACTCTGGGGCTGAACAAACCTGGGATCACATCCCAGCTCTGATACTTCCACAGCTGTGTGACCTTAGGCAAGACATTTGCCCTCATTAAGCCTCGTTTTTCTTAATCTATATAATAGGGATCATAATCCTAACTCCACAGAGTTGGTTTTTCTTTTTGTTTTTTGTTTAGATTTTTATTGGGGAATTGGGGGGATGGGAACAGCACTTGGGAATTGGGGGAAGTGGAACAGACAAGTCGCTGTCCCCCTGTTCCTCAGTCCAGCTGTGGAGGACGTTGCTTCACTGGCCCAAGTTGGCACCATCATGCTCCTCCGGGGCAAGGCAGATCAGTTGCGGGCTTCTGGACAGCTGCCCACGGCTGCTGCTGGCCACACAGAGTAGCCCATGGCAACCCACTGCAGCAGGGGCTGCAGCCTACACCTTCACTGGCAACTCAGGGCCGCCCAGCTCCAGGTTGAGCCGCTGTTCAGCATCTTAGCTGTAGAGGGCAGCATCACTGGCCCTCATATGTGGGATCTGAACCAGGGCCCTCTGGCGTCCCAAGCCAGCTCTTAACTATCGCACCACTCACCCAGCCCGCACAGAGTTGTTTTGAAGGTTAAAAGCAGTGTAGAATTCCAGGGTTAATGGGACTTAGATATCCACACAACACTTAACATTTTATACACATTCAGCAAATTAATTCAACAAATATTTATTGAGCCCTTGCTATGAGAAGGTGTTGGCCTTGGCTCTGGTGAAGAACACAAGGCCCTGAGGTGAAAACCTATGTTGACTCAGAGGGGACTGGGCTTAGGACATCAAGCCCCCTAGGCTGTCCCCAGAACAATATGCTATTCCATGTCTGCAGAGCTGCAGATGTAAGAAACACCATCCACATGATGCTCTGGCTTGGGCGGCTGTGTCCAGGGCCCAGTCAGTTTGGCTACCAGCCCACCCCTCTCCTCCAGTTCTAGGATAAAATACACAAAGCTCTTAAGCCCCTGGCCAGAAAATAGATTCTGTCCCCACTCCCCACCCCAATGCACATACTCCAGGTCATTCAATTCCAGGGAAAAACAAGGATTTAGGAAGCAAAAATCAGGGTAAAGTAGGTCACAGCAGGAGGATGGTAATCCCCTTGATGGCTGGCCAGAGCAGTCAGCCCCTGCTCCTGGAAGCCGGATGCTTTTGACCACCTACCAAGTGTGGCCCTGGGAAGAATTTGGGGGTCAGGAGGTCCAGCACCATCCCTCCTAAGAGTACGCCAAACTGAGGGAGTTGCCACAAGATAACACATCCTCCACAATGGGATCATTTTCAGTCTAAACTCTTGTTGACTGTAACACTTCCTATGCTGGACTTAAAGATTCTATCTTTCATTCCACACAGTCCCTGGACAGACACAAAGAGAACCCTTAGGGAGCCCACAGACGGGAATTCTGACCTGAACCCAGATAAAAACAAGCCAGTGTTATCAGTACTGAGACAGAAGAGAGCCCAGGAGCTGTGTGGACTTGCAGGGGGCTGTTGATTCAGCTTGGTCAGGGTTAGGGAATATTTCCTGGAGGAGGTGAAACAGAAAAAGAAGTAGGAGTTCACCGGGAGAAAATGAGGAAGGGTATTTTGAGTACAGAGAATAGATATACAAAGACCTAGAAGAATAAAAGCTTGGACTTTTCTTCTGGAAAATTCTGGTGGTCAAAGGGAGCAGATCTGGGAGGGCTGTTTTCCTGAACTTTCTCCTTTGGTTGATGTGAGAAAATACATAATGACTGGTTGTGAAAGAGAAATGGGGATAAAAAGAACAGGTGACTGAAGCACAGGAGCAAAGACAGGGAAAAGAGGAAGTTAATGGAAGCATCTGAGCTAACTGGAATGGGAGGGTGACTGGGAAGCATGGATGAAGTGGGGCTCCTACACATGTGGGTGGAGGTCTTTGGAGGCACCTGTCACCCTGCAGCCTAAGCCAGGGTCCTATCAGGCCTGATTCCATCCTGAGGACACCGTGTCCCAGCACGGGCTTTAGTATAAATCTAGCCAGCCTAGCTCTGGGCTCCCATCCTGTTCTCCCTCCCTCTGAACTGATTCCTTTGGGCCCCTCTTGTAAAGCCCTCTCCAACTCAGCTCCACTTCTCCCCCACCACTTGCAAGTCTCCATCTTACCTCTGTTGCCCCCATCATGCTCCTTCTCTGAAGCCTCCCCTTATCCCAAGGGCTGGATAGGTAGATCACTCCTCTGTACTGCTACAAGGGGAGTTGCAGGAGTGGACTAATAAACTGTGGGCAGAGCTGGCTTATGTAGGGCATTCTAGACAATGAGAAGAAGCTTAACAGCAGGGGCAGTTTTTCAATATAGAAAATGGAGAATGAAGGGGGAGGGGAGTGAGAGTAGAAGCAGTGAGGTTATGGCAGTGCTGACCTTGGGGTGGTGGGTTAGAGTAGGGTCCTGGTGCTGGTGGTAGAAGACTGATCAAGAGAGGGTCTCACCAGCTCTGAGATTCCTCCTTCCCTCAGGCTCTGCCCACGCTGATTCTTGCTCTTGCTCTCCTCCAGGATGAACAGAGGCTCCTCACCAAATCTATGCTTCCAGAACACTGTCTGGGATTGTTTTGACTTCATGCTGCACACCTCTTCTCAAAGAACAGGTTTGTGGAGAACAGAGGTCAGGGGAACCCTCATTGTGACCCCAGTCTCTGTAGCTCCAGATCACTTTGGGGACCTGATTCCCCACCTTCTGAAACAGGCTCCTCAGATCATACCAAGACCCCAGAGAGGGAGAAGACAGAGCACTTTGAGCTGTCTTGAGGCTAAGTGGTAGTTCAGCAGAGGAGGAGGTGAGATGGTCAGGAGCCTGGAAGCAAGAATGAACCTGGGGAATAGGGGTATGCACTGGGGGTGGGGTAGGACACTCTACCACCTCACAGAGCCCCTAGGGGCCAGGCAGGGCTAGGAATGCCAACCTGGGAGGACAAACCACCAGAGCTCCTGGGACCTGCATGCAATGGAAAGCTCCAAGCTGCCCCTGGGAAATGAGTGTTTGTAAGGATTGAGTCCCCTGTGGTAGCCTTTGCCCCGCCCAAACCGTCTTGGGGATCAGCTTCTGGAGGCCTTCACCACAGCCAAATGCAGCCAGAAGAAAGGAAGTAGCTTAATACAAATATAAATACCTTTAATGAAAGCTGAGCGCACTCTGCAGAGCCTTGAGGGCAGCCACCAGAGCAGAGGTGGCGGCAAGGGTGCTGCTATCTGACCCCAATGGCTAGGCCAGAGGCCCCAGGAGGCAAGTGAGCACCAGAGCAGTGGCCACCAGCAGCAGGAGTGTGGGGGCCAGGGTGGGGGCAGGCGCTGTCGCCCGCAGCGTCTCCTGGTTGGTCTCAGGGCCTGTGCCACGCTCCCGGACGTGCACAGGGGCACCACACAGTGTGTGCAAGTTATCCGGGTGCGGGGCCCGGCGAGCTTCTTGCTGTAGTGACTCCCACACAGCAGCTGCCTCCTCCGGGCAGCCCAACAGGACTTGTGAGGCACAGGTGTGGAAGTCATTCCAAGACCTGTTAAGGGGTTAAGGGAATTAGGTAGGGCAAGGAGGCTTTGGGATAAAAAAGAGGTGAGTCACTGAGGGTGGTGGGAGTCAGGCTGCTGTCCTGGTACCTGCAGACAGTCTCCAGCTTGCCTCCATGGCCCATGCCGTCCCCCAAGCGGATGAGACACTCGGCGAAGCCCTGGTATATGGTGTCACAGTGGCCTGGACCTTCAGCAGCTGCTGCCAAGGGAGATACAAGGACTGGGGGTGGGGATGGAAAATGGCTGATAGGATGAGCCCGCCCACTTCTCCAACCCCCAGGGGCTTGTTTACCCTGGCATGCTCTGGGGACGTGACTCAGTGTGAAAGAGGTGCCCTAGGGAAATGTGGGCACATCTGGGGATCACCTGCTTTGGCTCCCTTCTAGGAGGGACCAGGCAGGATACATGCGGGGGAAGCAGGGGAGGCAGGGTAAATGTCCTTGTGTCCCAGGGGTTGGCTCTTCCTCTGAGCTTCTGGGGCTTCTCCAGCCTCAAGTCAGGTAAAGATGGTCCAAATGAAGGAGTCAGGACATAGTGAAGGGGGGCACGGTCTGGAGCCACACAGACCTTCTCCCGCACTGTCGTTTCTCTGCAGCCTGCACGAGCTTTGCTTGACCGTCCCACCCCATTCCCAAAGACAAGTATTTTTGGACGGGTAGGGCAGGATAGAGGGGGTCAGGATCCAGGCCAGACCCTAACAGAGAACCTCAGAGATCCCAAGGCTGGTCTAGGAATTCCCCCAAAAGCCATGTATCCCTTTACCAGCATGGGGGCTGCGAAATTTTGGGTCCTTCCCCCACAGCTAGGGCTCAGTTCACACCCCTCACTTTTGGTATTAAAGCTACTGGTACACATTATCCCATCCCCGGAGCCTTGCTCTTACTCACCACCCTGGCTCCTAGCGCTCAGAAAGGCTGTGCCCTAGCTCCCACACACCCTAAACCCAGTCTGGTGAGAGGGTATATGTAGCTCAGGCCGGTCCAGTACGCCTGCACTCACCAAGTGGTGGTAATAGCAGCAGCAGCAACAGCCCCAGCGCACGGGGTGGTTGTTGGCGGTGGCGACAGCAGCAGCAGCGCATGATTCCAGGCTGGGAGCCTAGTGCCGGAGCTAGCTAGCAGCTTGGAGTGCAGCCCTTCAGCCCAGCCCCCGGAAGGAGGGGCTGTGATTGGACGGGAGCCGGGGGCGGGGCTTCAAGGCCAGCAGGCGGCCCCGCCTCCAGTACGCAGATTGGCAAAGGAAAGTGTGGTACACTGGGGAGAATAGCTCAGGGGCACCGGACCCTCGCCTCAGAGATGGAGAGAGGAGATCTGGGAGGGCAGCTGAAGATAGGTGTCCAGGCCCCTGGAGTGAGTTGGCCTCCACAGAGCTCCACACAGGTAGAAGAGAGGAGCCAGGAAACACAGGGCAGTTATCAAAGTCACACCAAAGACACACCAAAAGCACATACATACTTCATTTTATTCCAAAAGCATTTAATTGAATTTATCAATGTTTTTCAAAAACAAAAAGATCCAAAGCAGAGGTAAAAAGGAACAAGTGGTATTACAATCTCGGGGGGTCATGCTCCACGCATGGCAGAACCCAAGAAGGCACAATACCCACCCTGGGCCCAGCCTAAACCTGCTGGCTAGCATAACTTGTAGAACACAGCCAGTGCTCCCCCGCTCAAGCACCCCAGAGGTGGGAGCCTGAGCAGGTAAAGGGCAGACATGATCCTGCTTGGGCCTAGGCTTGTCTGCTGGCCTTTAGTGTCATCCCAGCCCTGGGCAAGGCAGGCTTAGCTAAGGGAGGCTGGGGGTCACAAGACCATGCAGCATGAGGCTGAGACGCCGGGCCACTTTGCCAAGTGAGTTGTGTGGCTCAACCTGCAGGAACTGGAAGAGCTTCTGGCGCACCTGGGCCATGACGGAGCCCATGTGGTCCCGAGTGATGGGGTCACTGTGGTCCAGGTGCATCACAGCCTCTTCCAGGTAGCTGGGAGTAGAGGAAAGGGACAGGCTACAGGTGGGCTCCCGCAGATGGGAGCGCCCCCTGGTGGCGCAGAGGCCCAGAGGGACTGCTGACAAGGGAGGCCTCCAAGCCTGAGATGGGTGGGGGCAAAGGGGATTGATGGAGAAATATAGGGAGGGGAGTGAGGCCGGAGTGGGACTCTCTGCTTTGAACTGCTGCTCCACCTCTACCCCAGCCCATCTCCTGGTCCTACCATGTCCACTCACCTGAGCTTGAGGTCAGTTCGAGTGCCAAGGTCAGAGGCCAGTTGCTGGATGAGGGAAAGGAGCACAGGCTGGGAGAGTGGGCAGGGTGGCTGCCCAAAAACCTGGCCTGGGTCCACAGTTTCACACACATACAGCACCAGGTTCAGGTCGGCAGCTGTAAGGGCCTAGGCAGAAAATAGTGTTTATAGCTAATGTCAGGATGGAATGCCAGCTTATCTGCCTGTGTAGCTGAGGATGACTACAGAATGGGACACTGAGGGCTCCAGAAGGGGATGCTCAGGGGCCCAGAGAGAACACAGTAGGGCTGTGTTGTTAATCTAGGGGATCAGAAAAGGTTTCCTGAGAAGGGTGGTCATGAAGCAAGGTAGGCTGAGGTAGGAAGAAAGGGATCCAGGGTCTAGGTAGAGGGAAAAGCAGGGGGAAATGGCCTGGAAGCCAAAGAGAACCAAAACAGTCCATTGGGGCCAGACCACCCAGAGCTTGATGGGTAGAGTGGAATGTATGGTGTGTGGGCCTTTTCAGGAGACACCTGACCCTTAACTGGGCCTAATGCCTGGCATACCTGCTGGAAGGCCTGATTGAGGTGGCCCTGCTGCAGCAACTGTAGGATATGGGCTTGCTGGGCCTGGCAGTCGAGGAGGGCAGTGGGGACAGGTGTGCCAGCAGCTGAGCGCATGGCCTGCATGATGCTAGAGGTGACAGCAGCCTGCTGCTCCTTGAGTGCCACACTCACCTCACCCTTAACAATGCGCTGTACCTGTGCTAAAATTGATTCCTGCAGGCTGCAAAAGAGAGTGAGAAAAATGAGGTAGACAGGAAGTCTGGTCTGGCTCTTTTCAAACCAACCACCTTTCCCAGTGCCCTGCCCACACACCTGCCCACAGCCACATGCAGCTGGTGCTGCACCTCAGCCCGAACACTGCTGGACACAGTAGCTGCCATCTGCTCAGTGGCACCCTGCAGGGTGCTGACCAGGCCCCGCAGCTGGGCCAACACAGGCTCCCGTGCCTCCTGCTCTCGCGCCTTCCGGCTCTTCATGTGGCTCTCTAGCTGCTGCAAGTCTGAGAGGTGACCATGGGGGCATGAGAGGAGCGGTAGGGGAGAAAGAAACAGCTTCTCCCACCTTGGGGCATATGATTCCACTTACATTCCTGTGTGCCTAGTCGGAAGCTATCATTGATCTGCTGGAACATGGCCTGGCAGCTCTTCTCGAAGGCGGGCAGCACCACACTCTGGAAGGCTTCACGGTAGGCGGCCTGCATTGGCCCCTGTAACGTGTCTGCAGCTGCCCGGGCGATGGCATCTGTCAAGTTCTGGGACAGAGGGAAGAGCTTGGCTGAGTTGAAAGCCTGGGCCTAAGTTGACCTAACCAGGCCCAGCAAGCACCAACCTCCCTCATCTTGGGCCCTGTAGCACCTTGGACTTCAGCAGCTTGGAGATATTCTCTTTCATACTACCCTCCACAGCTGTGAGCTTGGTGGCCACTGAGTTGCTCAGTTGGCCCGCCACGGGCTCCAGACTCCTAGAGACACCTGGGGCAGAGTGAGAAGGGAGAGATGGAGACATGAGAGGAAGCTTAACAGGTAGGGGGCCGCACTCCCACCAGGCCCTCCCAGAAAAAATCTCAATGCAATACTCACATGGAGGTACTGTCTTTTTTATCTCATCCCGTAAGCTACGCTCCAGCCGCCCAGCTACAGCTGAAGACAGCGCCTGGGACAGCTGTTGTGTCAGCTGCTCTTGCAGCTGCCCACCCCGTTGCTGCCCTTCTGCCAGTGCCCGCTCCAGCCGCCGCTCTGTGTTATAGCTAAGGAACAGGCCTGGAGCAGGTGCTGTATCCCTTCCTGGTCCAAGAACGCTACAGCTGCCCCTACCCCTCTTGATGCTGGGCCACTGCCCACAAGGATACGCTCTTGTTCATGCCGGGACTCGAGGGCACGTTCTACGTGGCCTGTGACGGTGCTCTGCAGGCCTTCGAGTTGGGTGCACAGACGCTGCAGTAGCTCTTCCTGGCTGTGCTGCAGCTCTGCCAGCTCTCTCTGCTGTTGCCAAATTATGGCTGGCCAGTCCTCAGGGGGCTCTGCCACCTGCCAGTAGCACTGACAGTCATATGATGCCCGCCCCACCCGTCACCACACACTAGACCAGTGAATGGCTCAGAACCCTTCCCTACCCTCAAGGAGGAGCCTCAGAAATAGAAAGGGTGTTTTCTCACTCACCTGGTGCTCCATGAGCCGAGACCCCATGGCTGAATCCCTGCCAAAGGCGAGAAGCACCTCAGTCCTAGACAGCCTGGGGACCACCCCTCTCCCTGGCCCCAGGGCCCCTCCTACCCGTCATCCTTTTTGCCCTTCCTCTTGAGCTTGGGTGAGGCCCGAGGGGATCCCTTGGTCTTCCAGTCCTTGGCAGGCAGCCGTGGAGTGGAAACTTTGGCGCCAAAGCCCCCTGCAGCAGACGCAAGGCTGGCCACCTCATCATCATGGTCACTGTGGGAAGGGGAGAGAGAGGGATATGCACCTACCACTTGCTGACCCTCCCTCGTGAGAGGAAGGATATGGGGTGGCACCTACCTTTGTTCAGCGCTGGTGTCCTGGCTGTCATGTTGCTGCAGCAGGTGATAAGGTGGTCGATGAAAGGCCAGGATCTTGTGCTTTTCCTGGAGGCCATTCCTGGGGCTGTAGGGACAGCCCAATTCAGCAGTGGATGACTCTATCTGAAGCCCCTACCATCAGCACGCTTTTCCCCTCCCAAGCTCCTCACCTTTCTGCCAGGCTGCTGCAGGTCTCCCGAGTAATGTCTGGTGCTGTAGGCCAAACCTGACTATCAGGGGCTGTGGCCTCTTGAGTCAAGGCCACCTCCAGGAGAGAAGGGGTACTATGCCGATCCCCGTCCCCAGGCCCTCCATCCAGGCCAAGCTGGGGCCCAAGCTCAGGCCCCGGCCTGGGCCGTGGGGACAGCAGGTGTAGCGCTGAGGCAGCTGAGGCCATACTGTCTGGCTCAAGGCCCTCAGGAGCAGAGGAGCCAAAGCCACGGGACAGGGCCTCAGATGCGATCTCAGGGATGTCCTGCGACAGGGCAGTGGAAGCCGAGGAGATAACATCGGGGGAGCGGGTACGGCTGGGGGAAGCCTGGGGTAGCCCCAGGGGCTCCACTTCCTGCAGCTCCAGAGAGAGTCCAGAGGCAGCAGTTGGCACCTGAGGTGAACCAAAAATGGGGACATAAGTGGTGGGGAATAGGAATGCGGAGAGGCAGAGATGAGGCACTGATGTTTGCAGTGATGAGATGGGGCAGTGGGGAAGGGAGAATGCAGTCAAAAACAGCCACAGTCCAGGAGGAGAGGAGGTAGGGATGGAGAGGGTTCAATTATCCTCCAGGAACATGGGAAGCTAAGATGACCTCAAGGGAAACATGGGCCACCTGAGGCAGAACAGGACAAGCAGAGAGGGTGCTATGGGAGGAGACTGCCACCAATCTGCCCGCTGCTATACACTAGCTACTCTGCACTTCACACACAAATGCACACACACACCTGTCCAGGTGCTTTGGAAGTCAATTTGTCAGCAGGACCTGGGAGCAGACCAGGCAGGAGGCTGCGTGGGCTTGCCTGCAGGCTGCTGCTGCTCATTGTCAGACTGCCATCCAGCTGCAGCTTGTGGCTCAGGGTCAGTTCCTCAGGAGGTCTGGTGGCAGGAAGGGTGAAGCGTAAGCAACCAGAGCTTGACATTACCTGGTACCAGCCCCTGCCATCCCCCAACTCTGACCCTCATTTCACCTGGGCAAGGAGGGGTCTACAGCCGAGGTACTACTCATGGCGGACACAGCTGTAAGAGAAGAGCTGCTGCTGCTGCTGCTGCTGCTGCTGCTGCTACTGCTGCTGCTGTTACTAGGGGATACAGCGATCTGAGGAGATGCAGACAGGAAGAGCTGTGGCCTGTGGTTGGGGATTCCTACGTCTCCCTGCCCTGAGCATCAAGCCCCTCCCCCAGCACACCTGCTGCAGGGAGGTACTAGGTGTCATGAAAGCGTCAGGTGTCATCAACTTGGGCTTGGTCTCACTGCTCAGACTGAGGAAGTCAGCAGGTGCAGGCAGCTCCACGATGCGCCGGAGATCAGGCTGGGAGCCGTGAG